GAGCAGAAGCTGGTCCATTTAGGCGCCAACATGGAAACGAGATGTATGAAAAACTGCTGTTCAGGCCTCTGAGTTGTCATATGGCCCTCTGCGACTCTTTGCGATGCCTTCCGATTTGCCTTGCGCGGTCTGCTTCGGGCAAAGGAAGTTCGCAATCACGCTGCAGCCAATGGGAGCTCTGAATCCTTCGAGTCCTCCGACTTGAACGCCCCATTGTCGCGAATCAGGAAGATGCCCGCCGCCGTTGCCATTCCGACCACAACGGATGCCCACAACGCACGCAGAGCCAGCAACCTGTTCATGGCCTCAGGAGGAAAGTTGCCATCTGAGACGGTATGCTGCCGCTACAGCCCGGCAAACAACCAGACGGCGACAAGGGACCACGCAAAGTCGTGGCGCATGGTCGCCACAATCACGGACACATACGCAAGGATCTCAATCACAAGACTTGCAGTGTGGGGAGTGCCCGCGACTCCGTAGGCGTCCGTCCAGCCATAGGAGGCGGCCAGAGTGAACTGGTTGGCTGCCGTTGCAACAAGCACCCAGCTGATGTTGCAGGATATGCCAGAACCGTACACCACCCACTGCCACAATGAGCAACTTGTCATGGTGTTGATGTTGATGTAGCTCAAGACAAGGAATACCAAGTACACAAGGATGACCAGCATAGACTTCCCAAAGAGCATATTGGCATTAGAGCGGAAGCCAGAGTGCGCTGAGAAGGAAGGCGATGACCAAGCGCCACCGAACCGAAAGGCTTGTCAGGGGCTTCTGCAAGGCCTTCTCTGCACTCTCAGATGTGGAACACTGCATGACCACCAGTATGCCCTCCAGGGTGTAGGTTACAGCCCAAACCAGGAAAGTCAACATGTCCGGCGTGAGGTACGTGGGATACTGGAGACTGTGCCGATGGACTGGGCAGAGAGGAACCCACAAGCTGCCAGCGCATTCAAGACGAGGCTGAAGACGAACGTCGCCACAACGAAAACCTTCTCAATGAAAGCCATTCTTCACTACGGCGTGCTACCACAAGCCTGCTACGATCTGTCTGCCAGGCTGTTGAGCCACCCACACCACAACCCGTTCGCCTTAAGACCCTCCCCTGGTCCCACTTTCCTGTCGATTAAACGTGCAGCACCAACATGAAACAGGGATCTTGAAACCCTAAACCCTAAGCCCTAAACCCTAAACCCTAAACCCGAAACCCTAAGCCCTATATGAAACAAGGCTTCTTCCCTCATTAAGAGGTAAGATGGGCTCTCTGGGTTCTTGCCCCATGCAACTTACCCATCAACAATCTTCTCCAACGCGGAGCCCTGGGCTCCGACTACAGCCTAGCAGTCGAAGGAGCACACCCTAAACCCTAAACCCTAGATCCTAAACCCTAAACCCTAAACCCTAAACCCTAAACCCTAAACCCTAAACCTTTTGGGGCCGGGATGCTGTGTATTGCAGTCGCCAATGAAGCACCGGAACGTCGTGAACATGGCAACCTCAGGTTGCTGTGGAGGTCGGTTTAGGGTTTAGGGTTGAGGGCTTAGGGTTGAGGGTTTATAGGGTTGAGGGTTTATAGGGTTTATAGGGTTTGTAGTGTTTATTGGGTTTATAGGGTTTATAGGGTTTATAGGGTTAATAGGGTTTATAGGGTTTATAAGGTTTAGGGTTCAGGGTTTCGGGCTCAAGGTTTAGGGTTTTGCGTGTTATCGGCCCTGGCTTTGCTGTCCTGCTGTTTTCCTGAGCAGGGGCCCTCGTTCTGCCGAAAGAAAGTAAGCCAACGTGTTTGGGATAATGAGGGCCCTTAAACTTAAAGAACCCTAAACTGGGCGTACTACCACCACCATGCCGGTACGGCTTAAGATTAGGGTTCAGCGTTTAGGAATAAAGACCACATCTTCTGCAACCAAGGCACACGATCCCTGGCTGATACTAAGATTTCCATGTTTACCTTCCCCAGTCACCTATAGGGAACAAGAAGCCTACCTTTCCCTGACTTCTTGTTGTTGCTATATTATTTTATATTATCTGATATTGTATTATATTATATTCTATTATGTTATGTTATAATACATCATATTATATTATATTCTATTCGATTATATTATATTTTATGATATTATATATACATACATACATACATACATACATACATACATACATACATACATACATACTTCTTTTTTTTTTGGGGGGGGGGGGTGTGGAGCAGAGCTGCCCCAGAAACCTCACGGAACCGGGCCGAGGCGCCGGGATGTTGTAGAAGAACTCGCGCAAGCCCAGCTCCTCCACGCGCCTCTGGCATCGGGTGAAGCGTGAGGGTGTAGAGGTTGGGGAATGTAGGGTTTAGGGTCTAGGGTTTAGGGTTTCGGGTTTAGGGTTCAGGGTTCAGGGTTCAGGGTTCAGGGTTCAGGGTTTAGGGTTTAGGGTTTAGGTTTTAGGGTTTAAGGTTTAGGGTAGCAATTTCTTGAATTGTCTAGTTATTTCGTGAGGGGCCTGTAGAGACGGGCGAGGAACTTTGGTGTCAGCGGCTATTCGACATGTATGGACGCTGCACGAGTTTAGGGTTAAACCCTAAACCGCTTTTCAAGCTTCGCAAAAAACAAGCAACAACATCTCCGGAATGCTTCACTTTAGAAGACTGCCAGGAAATGTTTGAGCACGAGGGTTCTCATGCGTGCTGGCAGTGTCGTCGTTTGGCTCATGTTCCATAGCAGTGCATGCCTGGCACTACCTAGCACTGTAGAGCTACCACGCAGTCAGGTCAATGAGAACGAGAATGAAGCAGAATGCATAGTTTGGGTAGCTGTTGTGTATTTGTCAGAAGGGACGAGTGCTTAAATCTTCAGGCTCCTACAGTATCCGATGCCCAAGCAATGTGCGTTTGGGACCGCTGGACGAAAACCGGTAAAATCTGCCGCCTGTCTTTACCGATGGTGAAGGAGGCCAGACCAGCTATCACGTACCTGAACGCAGCTCGTGGGGCGAGGATTTCGGTTCCAAAAGCTAGGTCCTTAAACACTAAAACTACAGCTAACTTGGTTGCTGCTGAGGAACTTAAGTTCAGCTACCATGATAAGGAAGTCAGCCACACCTACTTACTACTTATCCACGACAAAGTGCAATCGCCTTATCTGCAATGCAGATGTGAACCTTTATCGTGACTACCTCGGGCTTCGCAGCAACACTGGTGAGCCCGATCATTTAAGCACTCTTGGCCTCGACTCTTTTGAGCACAGTCCCCGAAACACACCTCTGCACGGTACAGGCCCTAAACCCTGTAAACCCAAACCCTAAACCCTAAATCCTGAACCATAAACGCCTCCTGAAGCCAATGAACCTCACAAGCCCTGAGCCCTTTTGGTAAGTTCACCCGGGGAACAGCACTGCGAATAGAAGAAGGAACGCCAGCGCCAACCTGGGAATCTTCAAAGGAACAGGGGTGGGGCGGACGGGGTGGTAGGGTTTTGGGTTTAGGATTTAGGGTTTAGACTTTAGGGTTTAGGGTCTTTGGGTTTAGGGTTTAGAGTTTAAGGTTTAGGGTTTAGGGTTGTTTAGGGTGCAGGGTTTAGGGTTTAGGGTTTAGGGTTTAGGGTTTAGGGTTTAGGGTTTAGGGTTTAGGGTTTAGGGTTTAGGGGTTTAGGGTTTAGGGTCTTTGGGTTTAGGGTTTAGGGCTTAGGGTTTAGGGCTTAGGGCTTAGGGTTTAGGGCTTAGGGCTTAGGGCTTAGGGTTTAGGGTTTAGGGTTTAGGGTTTAGGGTTTAGGGTTTAGGGTTTAGGGTTTAGGGTTTAGGGTTTAGGGTTTAGGGTTTAGGGTTTAGGGTTTAGGGTTTAGGGTTTAGGGTTTAGGGTCTTTGGGTTTAGGGTTTAGGGGCTGAGGCCTTGGTGGGCCCTTTCACAGCTTAGGGTCTTCGAATGCAGCCGCGGCTCGTCCAAATGCCTGCGATCAAGCCCCTGGGAGGCGGACTGGGATGCGGCAAACTATGGTCCCTTACCTACATGGGGCATTATACCCTACAACCCCGTAAAAAAATGCCTTTATAGGGCTGGCTAGGGGGATTATAAGGTACCTACATGGGGCATTATACCCTATAACCCCTTGAAAAGGCCCTTTATAGGGTTGGTTAGGGGGATTCCAAGGCCTAATCGCCCGTGCTGGTATGAAGACACTGAACCAGAAATCCCCAACTACTGGTCAACACTCATGTGGGGACTTTAGTGACATCCATCCCGCCGCAGGCAGGTCACATGGGGGCTTACGATATTAGGGGTACCTTATTGGGGGTGCTTGCTATAAGGGTATCCTACTATTCGGGGTCGAGAATAGGGATCGTAAACCCCCACTTGCGCCTCAAAAGTTTAGGGTTTAGGGCTTATATCAAGCCTGACTCCTTGCTCTTATGAAGATGCGCTAGGTACTTTACCGATTCCTAGCAAGTGACTTTGGGAACATGGGCACCCCTGCTGGCCCCTTAACATGCTTGAAAATGACCCCTGCACCACCACCCGAAACCCTGCCGACCCAAAACCCTCGGCCCTAAGCCCTAAACCCTAAACCCTAAACCCCACATCCCAAACCCTGCAGCCCTAACAGTCGCCATGCCTCAGCATCAGCCGTAGGTCAGACATGATCTTCAGGCGGAAGACTCTCCTTGGGGATGGTGGGGGGGAGGGGGGGGGGGTTAGGGTTTAGGGTTTAGGGTTTAGGGTTTAGGGTCTGGGGTTTAGGGTTTAGGGTTTAGGGTTTAGGGTTTAGGGTTTAGGGTTTAGGGTTTAGGGTTTAGGGTTTAGGGTTTAGGGTTTCGGGTCGGGGGGGGGGGGGGGTTTAGGGTTTAGGGTTTAGGGTTTGGGGTTTAGGGTTTAGGGTTTAGGGTTTAGGGCGTTGAGTCCAAGAGCCTGCTTAAGGCTCATTGGGTTCTAAGTAAGGAGATCAGGGTTTCAATTTCAGGGTTTAGGGTTGAGGGTTTAGGGTTTAGGGCTTAGGGCTTAGGGCTGAGGGCTTAGGGCTTAGGCTTCAGAACTTCCCAAATAGGGCTAGAAGCTGTTCTATCTACAGCTACACCCGACTTGTAGCACCTGGACATTGCACCTTGCCAGGAATGATCACAACGTGAAGGCTAGAGATTTGGTGCTGGAGAGGAGATCAGATGATGTGAACAAAGCTTAGAACATTGATCATGTTGTGTATGTATGCACATACGTACAAGGTATAAATGCACACCGTGCAGCCGCATTTCATTCATATGTATGTATGTGTGTGTATATATGTAAATATATAGGCATACGTACCAGCTAAGGACTGAGTATGTACATGCATATGCGTATGTGCATGCGATCATGCTCGTAACGTGGCTGTACCTATTTCGGGTCCAGGGTTCAGGGCTCCGGTTTAGGGTTGGGGTCCCTCAAAGATATCCAAACGTCCGACAGACTGCCCCTGCGGAGCATTCTTGCAACTGAATCCTAAACCCTAAAGGCCCTAAACCCTAAACCCTAAACGCGCCCCTTTCAAGATTGCAGCAATTCTCAACAACACAACTTCATCAAGCCCCGGGTCACCACGCGCGCAAGTCGAACCAACCGAAAGCACCGCAGCAGCAGCGTCCCCACAATGTCCTGAGTGCGGGGGCGGGCCTATTTCAGGGGCTAGAACCATTTCACTTCGGGGTCGGCTGTGGAAATGCAAGACTTTGCTTCGAAGGCTCATGGCTAGGCAAAAGTAGGGTCAAAGAAGAGCCGCGGAAAAGGATATAGCCAGGGTCCAGGAAGGATAAAGGTTATGGCCAGTTTTGGCGACGGCCCGCAACACTACACCGCACAAGATCTCAAGAAGGTGCCAGGCCAGTAGGGTTTAGGGTTTAGGGTTTAGGGTTTAGGGTTTAGGGTTTAGGGTTTAGGGTTTAGGGTTTAGGGTTTAGGGTTTAGGGTTTAGGGTTTAGGGTTTAGGGTTTAGGGTTTAGGGTTTAGGGTTTAGGGTTTAGGGTTTAGGGTTTAGGGTTTAGGGTTTAGGGTTTAGGGTTTAGGGTTTAGGGTTTAGGGTTTAGGGTTTAGGGTTTAGGGTTTAGGGTTTAGGGTTTAGGGTTTAGGGTTTAGGGTTTAGGGTTTAGGGTTTAGGGTTTACAGTCAAAAAGGACCACCCTAAAACCCTGAACCGTTCTATAGAGCTCAGATTTCCAGGTAGCTGGTCCAGGATCTCGTTTTCGTTCAGTGGAGGGTTTGGGGTTTAGGGTTATACAGTACTTGCTGAGGGAATTCACGAAGCCGCTAAGTATAACTGGGGTTCGCAGTTAGGGCAACGTCAAAGCTCATTTAAGGCTCTGATACCCCACTTGTAACAACTCAAGTAGGCTTCGGCAACCCTAAGCCCAAGACCCCAGTGAGCTTCTGTCTGCCACGAAGCGGGCGGGGTCGTTGAGGCGAACTGCCACATCACGTCCACGACGCCAATGGACTGCGGCGTATTGTGCTGTTATGGGTGCTTGCATACTGACAGCTCGTACGTCGTCAAGGCCTTAAACCCTAAACCCTAAACCTGAACCACTGGAGGGGGCATGACTTACTGGTGCTTGAGGGGGTATTTCGGGGGGAGCGAATGTAGGCACTACTATCGGGGCACACATGGCCCTTCTCAAAACTCTGCCTTTTCTGGGGTGTGGGGTGACAACAGGAGCCACGACGGAGATCACACTGTAGAGAACTCACCCTTTTTGTTTAGGGGATTGCTAGATGCACAAGTAAGTAAGTATAGGAACAGGATGGCATACGAGTTCTCTACCCAATGCCCTGAAGCCAATGCTACCCCGAACCCTAAACCCTATACCCTAAACCCTAAACCCCAAACCCTAAACGGCCCTAAACCGTAAACCCTAAACCTACCTCGGCTGTAACCCCTTCCCATGTGCAGCAGTCCGTCAAGAAAGCATCGAACCAATTCCACATCTGCTCCGAGCCACACCTGGCAACTGCTTGTTCGGGGTTTAGGGTTTAGGGTTTAGGGTTTAGGGTTTAGGGTTTAGGGTTTAGGGTTTAGGGTTTAGGGTTTAGGGTTTAGGGTTTAGGGTGTAGGGTTTAGGGTTTAGGGTTTAGGTTTTGGGGTTTTGGGTTTAGGGTTTAGGGTGTAGGGTGTAGGGTGTAGGATGTAGGGGTTAGGGTTTATCCCCCCGAACTACGAAGCTCGCTAACTGCGTGCGACCCAATCGGGTCACTCCGCGGGAGGTCGGATTGCAGTGGGTTCTGGTGGGGCAAAATTAGGCGGCCAGATCAAGGCCACCAGAATCAATATCGAAGCTAGGGCTTAGAATTTATTGAAATTGTTAAGGGTTCAGGTCCAGCGAAGTTTCGAGGAGTTTCGAGGAGCTTCTGTCAGGGTACAGGGGTACCGGGGCCTGAGGGTTAGGGTTTCGGGTTTAGGGTTTAGGGTTTAGGGTTTAGGTTTTGGGGTTTTGGGTTTTGGGTTTAGGGTGCAGGGTGTAGGGTGTAGGGTGTAGGATGTAGGGGTTAGGGTTTATCCCCCCGAACTACGAAGCTCGCTAACTGCGTGCGACCCAATCGGGTCACTCCGCGGGAGGTCGGATTGCAGTGGGTTCTGGTGGGACAAAATTAGGCGGCCAGATCAAGGCCACCAGAATCAATATCGAAGCTAGGGCTTAGAATTTATTGAAATTGTTAAGGGTTCAGGTCCAGCGAAGTTTCGAGGAGTTTCGAGGAGCTTCTGTCAGGGTACAGGGGTACCGGGGCCTGAGGGTTAGGGTTTCGGGTTTAGGGTTTAGGGTTTAGGGTTTAGGGTTTAGGGTTTAGGGTTTAGGGTTTAGGGTTTAGGGTTTAGGGTTTAGGGTTTAGGGTTTAGGGTTTAGGGTTTAGCGTCTAGGGTTTAGGGTGTAGGGTTTAGGGCCATTGCCCAGGGCCCAGAGCCTACAAAAATTCGACACATGCCAAAACCTGGAACAAACCTAAAGCCCCTAACAACCCTAAATGCACAAACAGAGTCCCAGTGGCCAGAAGGCCCTGCAGCCCAGAACCAGGATCCTGGGACGTCGGGTGCTACCCTGTTTTATGTATTTGGGAGGGGGGGGGGGGCGGTCTACTTAAGGGGGCTTCATTAGGGCTTAGGTTTCTCCGTTCTGGTCCTTGTAGTGCGAAGGTACCGAAAGGCGCCATCATTTAGCAGATTGGGTTTCTGCAAGGAGGACGAAGCTGCTGTATTTGGGGGTTTGGACTTCTGAAGGTTTGATTTTAGGGATGTTGGGGGTTTAGGGTCTAGGGTTGAGGGGTTCGAGACTAAGTTTGATCAGGCATGGGCAGAGTGCTTCACCCAGAACCCCGCCAGAAGTGCGCGTGGGGGCTGATCAGGGCCAGGGACCCACACCGCTAGTAGCGCCTCACACCCGAGCTCATGAACCTCACGCCTCATGAGCGACGGACATCTTGGCTCGAGCACCTATGAAGGGCACCGCGAAGTGCGAGAATCGTTGAGAATTGCAGGACTCCGGTGAACTGATGGCCTCTTGAACGTGCGCTGCGCTCTTGGGACATGCCTGAGAGCATGTCTGCTTCAGCGCTTCTACTTTTCCTACTCCTGCTGCTCGTTTCAGGGGGGTGCTGCTCCTGCATACTTTGCATTGGCATGCTCAGTATTAAGCATTGCCCACTGGGCTGATTGATCAACGTCCACACGAGACTTCGGCATCGGCACGGAGGGGGTCGGTTTCTGACATTCGGCGTGGTGCCTCTAAGGGTCTCCAGGTCTCCACTTGTGTTTTCCGAGACGAGCTCTCAACTTCTCAGAGCTTGCTCCACACAACATCTCCTTCTTGGGTTTCGTATTTTGGGGGGCCTTTGCCACCCAACATCAGAGGGCAGTGTAGGAGGTGCCCCCTAAGCCCTAAACCAAACCCTGGAATTGTAATGAAACCAGATTAGACTCACATATCCTGTGGATACTTTGGGAAGTCTCGGAATACATGGCCAGGACTAAAGTGACTAAAGTTTCGACCTCCATGGAGGACTGGACACCTGGGCATGTTGCGAAGTCGGGGAGTCGACGACATGTGCAGTTAACATAGCCGATTTGGCGGAGAAAAACTCATCCACCCGGACAAGAATGTAACTACTTCTGTGCGGGCGGAGTCCTGGTGTGCTAGGAGTACGGGGGACTCGGGAGGGTTGCCCTTACCATGATTGTGAGTTTCGTGCTGTAGACCCGTGACTTTGGGTCGAACTTTCGTCCTACCTAACCTGCATATTCCCTGTATTGGGGATCCTAATCTTATGAACGGAATATTCCCTGTATTGGGGATCCCAATCTTACAAACGGAAGATTCCCTTACGGCATGTTGGGATCGCTGGATTCTCATGGCCTTGCCAGCAGCTCCACGGCGAGGAGAAGCACAAACCCCATCTCCACATACCTCGCGCTGGGTCGAACTACCCAGAAGCACGTTAGCACTTGGGATGTTCCCCCTTGTACTACCAGCCTTTAAAAGGGATTATCATAGGGGGAGTATATACTATAATCCCTATTAAGGACTGATAGCAGAAGGGGGAGCATCCCAAGTTAGCACGCTCTCCCGAAGGCGAAGCATTGCAAGGCGAAGCATGCGCGATCGACAATCGGCTGACTCGATGCATCTTGAGCCCCAACCGCAGCTTCTTGAACTCCTAAGGAATCTAAACCAAAGAGCAACCTAGGTATAAAACGGGTACCCGTTTTGGCTTCAAGGAGCTCATATTTGGAGGTTCAGGATACTGATAACCCAATTCTAAGTAGGGCAAAAATTGGGTTGAAAAGTACAGTTCTCATTGGGTTACTAAGTACCATGAACCTCCAAGTACGGGCCACTCCCGAGATGGCAGGGAGCTAGGGATTCGCCAGGGGGCAGCCAGCCCTCCCAGTTCTCAAAGTGCGGGTCCGTCTGAATCCCGATGGAAATACCTGAGCTGCGAAAGTCGTCCACCAGCATCTAGAAACTGCGTGGTGCCTCATGGGGTTTATGGGGCAACCCCGTTAAGCATTTACAAAGGATCCTGCGAGGGACTCTAAAACAGACCAGCTCCCGGCCATCTAAAACAGACCAGCTCCTGGCCAGAGCTCTTGAAAGAAGTGGACGGACGTACAACTGAAGGTTTCGGATCTTCACCGAGAAAGCTGCCAAGAAAACTGCAGCAATACCAGATCACTCAACTTCTCGACAGGACCCTCTGGAAGTAGCTCGTGAAACCCTTCCAGCAGAGCAAGGGAGTACGGCACCAAGCCCGAAGTCTCAATTCAATCTCTAATCCCAAACCCGAAACCCGAAAGCCCAAACACTAAACCCGAAATATAAAAGAAACCAAAAAATCCTAAAAACTCAATCCTTAAACCCTCCATACCCCAGAGCCCTAAAACCCCAAACAACTAAAAACCCTAAATCCTAAACCCTGAAACCCTCCATACCCCCATCCAAACCCTAACAACCCTCCATACCCCCCAAAGCCCCAAAACCCCTAAACCCTAAACCCTAAACCCTAAACCCTAAACCCCAGGTCAGATCCGGCAACCGTTTGCAACGATGATCAAGGCGATCAGCGGCTCGAGGTACCTAAGACTCAAGGGGCCTTTCGGGCTGAGAGTTGGGTTTAGGGTTTAGGGTTTAGGGTTTAGGGTTTAGGGTTTAGGGTTTAGGGTTTAGGGTTTAGGGTTTAGGGTTTAGGGTTTAGGGTTTAGGGTTTAGGGTTCAGGGTTTAGGGTTCAGGGTTTAGGGTTTAATGTTTAGGGCTTGAGGTCTAGGGTTTTTGTCAGGCCTCCAGGCTTCATGACGCACACCAAAATACCTGAAAAACTCCACCTTGCCTTACGGCCTTACGAAAAACGCCCAATACGCCAAAACCACCACATTCATTTTTTCATTTTCCCTGTTGTATATATATATATACTATGTATTTATTTACTTATTCATTCATGTATTTATCTAATTATTTAACTATTTAGTTATTTAATTATATTTTCCTTTTTTTTGTTCTGGGGTGGGGGGTGGGGGGGGTGTTCGTGAATTTGGGTAACATTTCAGTGATCCTTTAAAAGGGGTTTCATGGCAAGTGTTAACTATAGCGGGGCCCTTATGCAGAACCACCCCCCCCCCCCCTCCCCCAACCCAACGCTCCGCACGCAAGCAGCCACAAAGCAGCTCCCAAGGCCCCAAACCTTACACCCCTAAACCCACAACATATTCGAAAACCCCAGAACCCCCAAACCCCTAAACCAGTAAACCCTAAACCCCAAACCCGAGACCCTAAATGAAGCCAAGGTGCAAGAGGATGTGGATGGGCTCCGAAGGCACTGCCAGGTCATTAATGCGTACGAATGTGAGCTCGGCGACCAATCCTTAGCAGAGAAGGGCTTGAAGGACAATAGGGTTTAGGGTTTAGGGTTTAGGGTTTAGGGTTTAGGGTTTAGGGTTTAGGGTTTAGGGTTTAGGGTTTAGGGTTTAGGGTTTAGGGTTTAGGGTTTAGGGTTGGGGTTTAGGGTTTAGGGTTTAGGGTTTAGGGTTTAGAGTTTAGGGTTTAGCGTTTCGGGTTTGGGGTTTCTGGTTTAGGGTTTAGGGTTTAGGGTTTAGGGTTTAGGGTTTTAGGGCTTAGGGCTGTGGGGCTTTAGGGAAAAGGGACTTCAGGGCTTAGGATTCAAAGACTTTCGGGCATGGTTCAGGGATGTGCGGAAGCTTCAGGGTTCTGAAGGATCTGAGGGGAGCACAGGGTCTAGGGTTTGGGTTTAGGGTTTTGGGATTTAGGGTTTCGGTCCTAGGGACTGTTCAGGGTCTAATGCCTTACTTATGTCAATGGGCGGTTCGTGTCGCCGGCCAAAAGGATTTCCTTCACGGCTTTGTACTGCTTGAGCAGCTTTGCGCCGAAAATCCTGAATGCTCGAGAGCTGTCTTGAATCTAGACCATGAAGCCATAAGCCCTAAACTCCAAATCTAAACCTTATAGCCTATACCCTACCTCTACCCTAACCCTAAACCCTAAACCCTAAACCCTAAACCCTAAACCCGAAATAATCGAACCCTAACTAAACCTCAGAACCATGAGCTATGAATACCCTGAACTCTAAAATGCTTAAGAGCCCACTCCCCAAAAAAGGAGAAACAGGGATGACCGTACAAGAGAAAAAATTCAAGAAACCCTAAACCCTAATAGAGTACTGTTTGGGCGGCCGGGGTGGGTTGACGGGCAACACGAGCGCGCGGCCCGGGGTGTTTCACACCCAGCGCGCGCCCTCCTCTGACACACCCTAAACCCTAAACCCTAAACCCTAAACCCTAAACCCTAAAGCCTACAGCCTAAACCCTAAACCCTAAACCCTAACACCTAAACCCTAAACCCTAAAGCGTTCGAAGCCCTAAGCGCTGAACCCGGAGGAGGAGTTGGGCTTGGCTCCCAAGTTGGGTTTGGGGTTCTTTTACTACTACTTGCTTAAGACTCCCCTCCCCAACAAAAAAAGGGAATGAAACCCTAAAACCCTAAGCCCTAAACCCTAAACCCTAAACCCTAAAGAATCTGATATCGTAGCTAAGGGTCCAGGTACTGCACCGATGATTGCTTTATGTTTTTAAACTTGCGGTGTTAGGGTGTAAGCTGGGGCTGGGGGTAGCCTCGGCCCTTTTCGGGCCTTCGGCGTGTCATGGCCCGTAGTAGAGGCCCTTATTTTACTTGAAGGTCAGGGAAACCCTTTGTTTTTTTTTCGCCAATGCCATTTTCAATTTTTGAAGTTGCGTTTCAATTTTGAAATTGCAGGGCTAGGGCTTAAGCTGGGGTTTGGGGTAGCCTCGGCCCTTTTCGGGCCCGAAGTCAGGTTCCCTAACAAAGGTCTTGGGTTCTTGATTGCAGGCTCTGCCTGGAGGACTCTTGCAGGTAAGCCTTAGGCCCGACTTCCCACAAAAATGCTAGGCTAGGCGCGGGGCCCTACACAGGGGGCCCAATGGGGCCTAGGCCTCGGGCTGAGCGGAATCACAAGGTGCTACCCTTAACCGACCTCCAGAGGCAAAGGGTTACGATTTGGGGTGAGGCTTTAGCTACGCTAAAGGTGGTCTGGGTACGGCCATCCCTTAGCCGAGTACTGACGTTGTCGTAAGGAAGGCCGATGTTCGTTGGCCTGTCCAGGACGCTTGACCCTCACCTTTCCGTTTCTCTTTTCGCTTGGCGCTCGGGCTGTAAGGCCCTCGGCCGAGCGTTCCGGGTCTGTCGCTCGACGGAAGCGACCCCTCGCTTGGTTTAGGGTTTAGGGTTTAGGGTTAATAGGGTTTAGGGGTTTAGGGTTTAGGGTTTAGGGTTTGGGGTTTCGGGTTTAGGGTTTAGGGTTTAGGGTTCAGGGTTCAGTGCGCAACACCCTAAACCCAAACCCTAAACCCTCAACTTGGGGTCCTCTTGTGCATGTTGCTATCGGTGGCCAAGAAGACGTCCATCACAGCCTCCAAGGGCGCCACCTGAGCTCTCTGGCCCCTGGTTCTTAATAGGAAATGAGGGAAGTAGGGTTTAGGGTTTCGGGTTTCGGGTTTAGGGTTTAGGGTTTAGGGTTTAGGGTTTAGGGTTGAGGGCTTAGGGCTTCGGGCTTAGGGCTGAGGGCTGAGGGCTTAGGGCTTAGGGTTTAGGGTTTAGGGTTTAGGGTTTGGGAGGGGGGGTTCTGGCATTGTTTGGCAACCCCTTCTTGCTCCTAAAGTTTCGGTCATTACATGCGTAGTGTCCAGGCTTGGGGTTGAGGAGGGTCTAGCCCTAAACCCTAAACCCCTAACCCTAACACCTAAACCCTAAACCCTAAACCCTAAAACCCTAAACCCTAAAACCCTAAACCCTAAAACCCTAAACCCTAAACCTGGCAGGGTTTAGCTGCAGGGCCCTGGCAACCCAAGCCGCGTCGTACTCTACCTGCGGTGGCCTCGCCTTTTCGTAGACGCTACTGGCTGACTTCTCCTCGGTGGGAAGGCAGTTAGGAATGTAGGATTTAGGGTTTAGGGTGGTTCTTAGGGTTGTCAGGTCTAGTGTGTTTCGGGCTTGGCTTTTGGGCTCAATGTAATATGTCGGGAGAATACGCCCCGAGAGCTCCCCCCCCCCCTTAGCTCAGGGTTTGGGGATCAGGGTTCCGGGTTCAGGGTTTAGGGCTTAGGGTTAACAACCCTGATCTAAACCCCAAACCCTAAACTTCCTCTCTATTAGAGTCCAAAAGTCCTCACAACTCATCAAAGAGCTTCAAACTCAAGCTTGGCTCAAAGCTACATCCCAAACCTGCGAGGCAACCTGAACCTAACCCCTAAACCCCAAACCCTAAACCCCAAACCACAAATCCCAAACCCCAAACCCTAAACCCTGAACCCTAAACCCTAAACCCTAAACCCTAAACCCCAAACCCTAAACCCTAACCTCCAAAATACCTCGAGACTTGCTGTGTGAATCCGTTCAAGTCCTCCACCGAGACGAATGCCAAGGCTCGCGAGCTATGCTCACAGAGACCGAGGAGTCGCCGAGCTGCGGCCATTCCCAGACCTTTGGGGTTAGGGTGGTTCAGGGTTCAGGGTTCAGGGTTCAGGGTGCTATCCAGGCACAGAAAGATTATTATGGGTTAGGATAGGTTTATATATATATATATATACATAGATACATATATATAATATGATATATGTATAATATGATATAAATATAATATACAAAAAAATTTATTGAAATGGCCGCTCGGGCCACTAGCAAACGCCGCACCCCAGGACACCAACCAGAATGCTCGCTTCCTTCTCTCCCTCTCCCTCTCCCTCTCCCTCTCCCTCTCCCTCTCCCTCTCCCTCTCCCTCTCCCTCTCCCTCTCTCCCTCTCCCTCTCCCTCTCCCTCTCCCCTCTCCCTCCCCCTCTCCCTCTCCCTCTCCCTCTCCCTCTCCCTCTCCCTCTCCCTCTCCCTCTCCCTCTCTCCTTTCTTTCTTTCTTGGGGGCGTGGGGGCGAACCCCCTGGCTGTGCGCCTGCCCCGGTATTCGGGGTTCCTTTGTCGGTAAAGCTCGGGAGACAAGGTCAGGCTTGGCGCTTAAATTCTGTGCTGCCCCAATCCCTAAGGGTCCTTAGTTCCCCCCCCCCCCCCCCCGCGCCATTCCCTTCCGTTTCTCTCCCTGGCTGGTACCATCCAGCATGCGAACTGCCGGGGCCTTTCAGAAACTGTCGGAAGCTAGGTCGGCGACTATAACCCTCTGGGCTCCCTACACGATTTCATAGCCCCCGGAGTTCAGTGCAGTGAAACGAGTTAGCCTTCTGTGGTCTCAAACAGGCTGGCCCCCTAAACTCCCCAAAGCAGCCCCAAATCAACTCGGAGTCCTACCCTCGAAGCGCCTGGAAGTGGAACCTGAAAACTCCCAGCCCCCACAACGGCTTACTCACTCTACTTTGCTGTGCTATGGCCCCGTGCGAGGGTAGACTGGGCCCCGTCATGTTGGAAATTCCTACTGCCAGTGCCCCCCTGTACTTAGTCACCTGCTAGTGCCCCCCTGTACTTAGTCAACCCCCGCGTGGGCTCGTCTGCGCCTGTGCTCCTCTGCTACATTCAGCAGGTCAATGCCCCCGGGGGGCTCAGTACGTCTGCGCCGGTGTGTTTCATCTTCGTCCCCCGCTTCGTCTTCTTCTTCTTCTCCCGCTTCTGTCGTGAGGTGCTTGTACTGGTAGCTTGACCCCCCACTCCTGGACCTTCTGGTGCGCTGGCCGAAAGCCAGCCTCCGACGCTGCTTGGACCGCCTTCTATTTGCGGCTATCCCCATTTGGGCTTCCCACCTTCTCCTCATCGTCTGCGGCTGCGGGTAGCTACTAGGAGGCGGGGGTTGCCATGCTTGCGTCGGTGGCGTGAGTGGTGCACCCCCATCTATCCCCTGCTCCGAGCTGGTTGCTCCCCCTGTTCCCCCTTCTGCTTCCAGCGTGACGATTGCCTCGATCTTCTCCCTGCCATTATCGCGATCTGGTAGTAGGTCTCGGTCTCGTTGGTTGGTTTCGCCCCCAGCTTCCGCAGCCCCCTCCCCTGCGTGGCCCCCTCTCGTCGCAGCCCCCACCCGTGCTGCCCCCTCGCTTCCGCCTCTCCTTCTCCTGGCTTCTCCTCCCGTGCTTGGTGGCGGTGGTGGTGGTGCCGTGTGTCGTGGTGGTGGTTGTTGTTGTGGTGGTCGTGGCTGCTGCGGTGGCCACGCCGGTGGTGTGGGTTGTTGTGGTGGTTCTGGCGTGTCTTCAATGGCCAAGAGGTCAGCCCCCCAGAGGTTGTGGCACCACTCATTGAGTGCTTGTAGCGCCGCTTCGAGTTGTTCTTGTACTTCCCCCCCGGTGAACGGCATCAGCCTCTGGAGGATGTGACGCGCTCGCACAATGGGGTGGCCCGTTGGCTGGAGCTGGTTCCCAGGGTTTGGTCCCGGTGGTGCTTCTTCTCCCCCCGCTGCTAGCGCCAGGGCATCGGCCGGATGCACCTCCCCCCCTTCCGCCTCCCGGTTGTGTTGTGTTGCCAGGGCACTCGCCTCCCCCCCCAGGCACGCTTCCATGTGGTGTTGTGCTTGTTGTAGGTGGTGGCTTGCTTGCGGGTGCGTCGGGTAGCTTGCCGCTATGAGCAGCTCCTGTTCGGCTTGCGGTGCTCTAGCTTCTGCCATGGATTGGAGTGCCCAGCTGCTGGTCCTTACCACCGTCCCCAGCCACCTCCTCCCCTGTCTTAGCAGCCCCAGGATTGCCCCCACATCCTGTATCCTCTCCTCCGCGTTCAGTGCCCCCCAGCCCATACGGACGTGCTGTGCCAGCCTAATTGCTTCTTCAAAGTTGGTGGTGCCTCCTGTGTGGTGGGTCCACCCCCCCGTTGCTGTGGTGTCGTTGTCTTGGGCCGGGCGCGGTGGTGGTGGGTTGCTGCTGTCAGGGTTGTTGATGGGCGACGGCGGCCGTTGCTCCGCTAGCCTGCCTCGTGGCCTGGTGCTGCTGCTCGCGGGTTCCTCTCCTCCCCCCGGCTCCATATCTTCTGTGTGGTTGTTCACCAGCTGTACCCCCGTTGCTCCCCCTTCCCCTGTCCATGCCTGCAGGCATTCTAGGGCATTGGTCAGGTGGCTGTGCCCTGACTGTAGGGTGTTGGTAACTGCGTCGGTGGTAGCTTGGGTGCCGGTTGTGTGCTCCTGGAGGGCCTCGAGGGCTGCTTGGATGTATGTCGCGGCTGTCGTGGCCCCTCTTGCTCGGGCGTCTAGCTGGGGTTTGTGGCGCTTGGTTGCTTGCTCTGAGGGTGGTGGTGGCGTGGGTGGCGGTGCTGGCATCGTTGGTGGTGTGGCTGCCGGCTTCCGCTTTGGTGCTGGGTCAGAGGGCCGGCTCCCACTTTGCTGTGGGTAGGCTTGTGTTGCTGGTGGTGTTCCTGTGTTCTGGGGGTGTGGTTGTTGTTGCTGCTGGCTTGGTGGTTGCTGATGGCCCGAACTGGACGCCCCCCCTTGTTGGTAGTTGGGTTGCGGTGCGTCTGGCCCCCGCTGGTCGCCCTGCCTGGGTTTCATCGGGAGGGGCGTGATTCTGGATGTGCGGTAGATGTCCGGGTCCACCCTTGCTAGTTGCCCTTGCTGCAGTGGGACGTGCTCCTTTGGTTGTTCCCCCGGCTCGGTCTCTTCTTCCTCCTCCGCGGTTGCAACCCCCGTGACTGCCATAACCCACACGTCCTCCCCCTTCACCTTCCTGAGCTGTCCTTGGGTACCTCTGGCTATGGGCCGTGGTTGGTCCTCCCCCTGCGGAGTATTCCTCCCTAACTGCCTCACTCTTTGGCCCCCTGGTACATGCTTCCATTGGTCCGCAACCGCAAAAGCCCAGAGGTATTCACCTCTTTTCCCCGGCCAGAAGATGATTTGGTTGTTCTTGCTGATGGGCAGCAGCGGGGGCCCGTCCTGCGACCATTCCCAGCCTTCGTCCCCTCTGTTCCCCCCCCCCCGTGGTGGTGGGTTGCCGTGGCGCGTTGCTTGTGTCCCCCGGGGGATTGGCCTGGTTCGGGCCCGGGTGACCCTGTGCACACGGTTCGTCCTCCTCGTCTTCGTCATCTTCGTCATCATCGTCATCGTCATCATCGTCGCTGCTCCAGTGGGTTTCGGACGAGTCACTGTGGATCTCGTTCTCGGTCGCCATGGCCAGTGTCTCGATCTTGTAGTTCACGACGTTCTCGGTCGCTGGTCGGCTGGTTCTGCTGCGGGTGCTGGTCCCTGGGTCGTTTGTGTCTGTTGAGGAGCTCGGCCCAGTCTTCCTGCGGTGTGTGCCCCCCCTGGGTTGGTTGCCCCCCTCCTTCGCAGCTGGCTTTGCCCCCCCGCTTTCGTGCTTGCTGTTTTCTTTCCCACGCCCTCCTGGCCTTGCGCTCGCGGTTGCGCATCCTCTGCTCCCCCCGCCCCTCGTGCCGGTTCCTTGCCCTCCTCGCCATCGCCTCCTCAAACGTCTCCCCCTCCCGCATGTACCAGTGTGCCGGTCCGTCTTGGCTTTGCTCCTGGTGGCTGCCTCCCTCCCCTTCGCCTTCGGTTGCCGCGTGGTGTTGGTGTGGCTCTTCGTCGTCGGTGTGCTCGGCCGGCGGTTGTGGAGGCTTCGGCTTGGTGGCTGGTGTGCCCCCGCATGTGGTGTAGTGGGTCGGCCGTGGCGTGGTGGTGGTGCTTTGACTGGCGGGTCACTGCTTCTGTGTTGTCTCGGCCCTTGGGTCGGTGTGTCGTGGTGGCGCGGCTGCTGCGGCGGTTGGGGAATGGGCTTTGCGGGCGGCGGCTGGTCGTGGTGGTGTTGGAGGTGTTGTGGCGGCTGTGCTTCGTGGGGCTTCGGTTGGTGTGGTTTTGGTGGTTGGTGTGTCTGTTGCCGCTGTTGCGGTTGGGTGGGGCGTGGTTGTTGCTGGTGTGGCTGCTGCTGAGGATCGCGCCCGGTCGTTTGTGCAGACGGCGGCTGCTCGCATTGTCGCTGCTGCTGTGGTTGCTGCTGGGTGTTCGGTCGCTGTTGGTGTGGTGGTGTTTGCCGCTGCTGTGGTGGTGGTTGCGCCGGGGGTGACTCCTGGTGGGGTGGTGGCTGTGCCTGCTGCGTTGGTTGGTGCGTCGATCGTGGCTGTGGTGGTATCGGCTGTGCAGCGGGTTGCTGTGACGTGTGGTGCGCCTCTGGTCGTTGTGGTGGTTCCGTGCCCCCTTCATGGCAGTGTGCCAGGTGTGGGGGGGGGTGTTGTGGGGGTTGTTTTTGCGCCGGTTGTTGCTTGGCTTGCTTTGGGTTCGGGTGGCTCGGTGGGGTTTCAGTTGGCGTGCTTTGGCTTGGTGGATCGTCTTGGGGTTGCTGTGGAGTGTCTGCGCACTGGGCTATGCTGGCTAGTATGCGGGTGACCAGCTGTCCCCCTTTGTCTGCTGTTGGGGGAATGGGGATGGTGACCGTGAGGCGGTCGCTCTGGACTCCGATGGTGGGGATTTGGGTTAATGTGCCCCCCGGTCGGTCTGGGAATGTCGGCTTGTGGCCCCCCTGGCTCGGTAGGCTGGCTGTGCGGTGGTGTGGGGGGATGCCCTCTCTGCGTGGGCGTGCAGTGTCCCCACTGGTCGTCGTGCCATGGGTCCGTGTCGGGGTCGTACGGTGCAGGGATTCGGATCGCCCATCTGTTGGGGTGGTGTGCTGGTGCGCCGGGTTGAGGGGGTGGCTGCTGCGTGTCGGGCGAGGGGTAGTATTCTTCCCAGGGGTTGGGATCTGGTCGGGGGCGTGGTGTTGCAGGCTGAGCTGCCCCGTTGGCGTGGTGGGCCTGCTCAGGTGCTGGTTGGGTGGCCGCCCCCTCGGGAGGGGGTCTTGGTGTGGTGCATCAGCAGGGAGCCCCTCTGTGGGGTTGGTGGGCCATTGGATGTGGATGTGGGTGGCTCCTTGATGGTGGGCCTGGTCGTCTTCGAGGTTGCCATTCTCGGTGTCCCTGCCAGTGTCACGATCTTGTAGTTCACGATGTCCTCGGTGGCTGGTCGGTTGGTCGTTTTCGTCCCCCTGGTTTGGGTCGGCTGGTGGGTGGGTCGCCTGTGTCCCCCCATCTGCTGGCTCTGGTTGGTTGCTGGGTGGCTCGTAGCCCCCCTCGGCCGGCTCGTGTGTTGCTGGGTTTGCCACTGGGTTGCCCCATTCCCCAGCGGGATCGGCGTGCGGGGGTTTGCCCCCTGCCGAGCTAGCTGTGGCGATTGTCCCCACAGCTGGCCCAGGCTGAGCCCCGCCACTATTGCCCCTATCACTCGGAGCATAGCTGCGTCGGTGCGGGGGTTGTGTCTTGTTGTTGCTTCTGAGAGCACTCACGGCTGCAGTTCACTCGCTATCATCCAGTGCACATGCCCTTGCAGCTTGCCATGCAGACATGCATGCGTGTGTTTAGGGTTTTGGGGGTCTTCTTCTGTCTGTCTTCTGTGACGCGTGGTGGGGTGTCGGTGTGCGCGTGCGTGCCGGTGCAGTGTCTCCCCGGTGGTGGTGTGGTGGTGATGGCGGTGGTGTTGGTGGCAGTGGGGCTGTGGTCCACGGAAGTGCTGGTGGTGTTCGTGGTGGTGGTGGTTGCGGTGGCGGTGGTGGTGGTGTTGGTGATGGTGGTGGTGGTGGTGGTGGCGATGGTGGGGGTGCTCGCGTGTGATTCTGCTGGCTTCCCCTATCCGTTGCGGTGCGCAACATCATCCGTGATTGCCAGGTTCCCCCTTTTTCGCCCCCCCCCCGTGTTTCGTGTGGTTTTGTTGGGTGCGAGGTTGCCAAGCGCCTTTTGCCTTCCGCTACTCCACGGCGGGTCATGCCTCGTCACGAACTCCTCGGTTTGGGCTTGCCACCAAAGACGATCTTGAGCTCGAATGTCCCAGTCTTGTCCCCCGACGGCGGCCACGGCTCGCTCAATGTCCGTGTGTGGGTTGAAGCGACTCGGATGTCGCAGCCCCCTGGGGTTGGCTTGTTCAGCCTTCCACCATTTTTGCCCCCGCCACAGGAGGATCTCTTTGGTGCAGCTCTCATGTTGTCTGGCGACATGTCCCCATAGCCCCCATATGCGACGCAGTGCGTGGGTAGACCATCGCTGGACTTGGTGGTGGTGTACCTTGGCCCTGGCGTCTCGCAGCCCCCTTTGGTTCCAATCTACCCAGGTTTCCCCCGCGCGTTTTCCAAGCCCTACTATTTTCCTGACGTAGTGGAGCTGACACGAGTTCGCAGCCTTCAGCAGCGTTTCGTGCGGTGGCCACGCACTACATCCCCACAGTGCTGCAGGACGGAGGTACACCAGCATCAGCTTGAGTCTGGGTGGAAGTGGGGTTCGGGCAGTGAGCTCCTGGGCGTGGGCGTGGAAGGCTTTGCGGGCTCTCGTGTGCATTTCTGCTATCAGTAGGGTGACTTGGTTCTTGAACGCCACCGGCGAGCCGAGAATGTGGAAGGAACCTTCTTCCGGTTGCGGGTCAACCCACTCCCCCCCAATGCGAAAGCGTCCCGGTTGCTCCGCATTCGTGATGATGGCCGTCTTCTTCGGGTGGATGTGTAGGCCATCTTTCTTTAGCGTTTCCTCCACACTGGTGAGGCGTTTTTGGAAGTTCTCGGCGTCATGGTCCCAGACATAGGTGTCATCCATGAAGGCTCCTTCATTGTGTGGGCACGGGGGCCCAGCCCCCTGTCTTGTGGCTGGCAGGCGTGCTTGTTGGAGGGCTCGACCCATGAGTGCGGCGAACAAAACAGGCGAATCCGGTGCTCCTTGGCGTACTCCTGTGGTTTGGAGGACGATCACGATTTCCCCCCCGATGGCGACTTGTACGGTCTCCGCCTCAAGCAGGGCCATCCACGTCCTTGCTTCCCATGGTTGTCCCCCTCGATCGCCGACCCAGTGCGCCACCATGGCCCCCATGTTCTGCTGGTGTACGCTGTCAAACGCTTTGCGGACATCCAGTTTGGCTATCCAGGTGGGCAGCTTCCATTCTACCCCCGTTCTGACAACTTTGCGGAGGACCATGATGAGCTCCTCAGCTTGTTTGCCCCTCCAAGCCCACTGAAACTTGGTGAGCGGCTCGAAGTGGTGGCTGCATCTCCCCAGCAAGAGCTGTGATAGCCACTTTAGTGTCGAGCTTGAGAGCGTGATGGGTCTTGTTTGCCCCCACTCCGTCGGGAGCGTTACTTTGGGTAGCAGGATGGTGACCCCCTCTCCCATCTTGCCGTGGAGCTTGCCGGTGTAGAGCACGTCGTTGTAGAGGTAGAGGAGTCTCTCCCCCCAGACCCGGTCCTGTTGCATGGCTCGCAGCGCTTCCAGTGAAGTTCCGTCGACACCGGTGGCTTTTCGGCGCCCCCACGTGGCCATTGCTGCAACCAGTTCCTCTTCTTCGAATGGCTTCCAGGGGGTCCTTTTGCATCGATGTTCCAGAGCGCGTCGTAGCTCCCCAAAGGCTTTCTGGACTCGTTCTCGGGAAACTTTGGCGAATGTCCCCTCAAAGTGCTCGCGCAGTTCATCTTGCCAGCCTGGTCTACCCAGCAGGTGGTGCTCCCATTGTTTGTTTTGGCGTTGTTTCCCCAGCGCTCGCAGCTCTCCCCAGTTCATGTTGGCAGCTGCTTGCACTTTGCGCTGCAACCATGCCTTCCTTTCACGTTTGTGCGTGTTCCAGACTTGCTTCCATAGGCTTCGCCGTTCGGCTTCCCCCGCGTGCTTGGCTCGATGTCGGAGGTGCTTCAGCTTGTCACTCTCTTGCCACGGTTCACCTCCTTGGGGGGCGGGCACGGTGATCGCTTTGGCCACCTCTGCAATGATGTGATGAGGATCCCCTCGGCGTTGTTCCCGTAGTGCTTCTTCGACTTGATCAAGATCTTTCAAGACGCGCGCACCCCATGTTGCCGTGAGTTTCGGCTTGTTCCGCACCGCGAAGTTTGTCTCTAGCATGACTGCGTCGTGGTCCGACTGTATGATGTCCCTCGTCCCCTCCATCACGTGCCCTTCCCCAGCTGGGAGTCTGCGCGTGGCAATGTAGTCCAGCCGCCGGGCTCGCATGGCCGTGTTGTATGGGTGGTACGAGGGCTCGTCCATTGCTTGGTCAGGTAGTCGTAGTTCGTGCTCTTCCATCCAGCGGAGTAACGTTTCCCCTCGCCCCGTAGACGCCGCCGCCCCCATTTCCAATTCCCGGAAGGTCTCGTTGAGGTCGCCCCCCAGGATGACGCGCATCTCCGCTAAGGCTGTGCACGCTCCCCATCCCGTGAGGATACGCTCTGTCTGAGGGATCGTGGCATGGTGTGGAAGGTGTGCTGATAGGACCCCTACCATGGTGGGTTTGGTGTGCCCCTCATTGCTGCAGGGGGGTGTTGTGGTGGGTGTGTTGGTTGTTTGTGGCGGTGGTGTGGGTGTGTCCGTGGTTGTCGGAGCGTCAGGTGGTGCACGCTGTGCTGTTTTTCCCCCCCAAAGAACAACTGACAGCCCCCCTTCTAGGCTCTCGGCTTGTGTGTGACAATATTTGAGATTGTCATATGCGACCCCCTCTCCCCTCCACTCTGTGTCCATCTTCCCCATGACGAGAGTCCAATTTTCTGAGCTCTCGATGTGAATGCCAGGCTCGCAGATCACCTCTTGGAGGGTCACCACGTTCACTGTGGCAAGGTTTGCATGTGGGCCGCCCCCCCGACTGAGCGTGAGGAGGATGTCGAGAACTTTCTTGGCCCCGGCTCCTCCCACGTTCCAGGTGAGCATAGTCAGTGCTTGTTGGGTGGTCTTCCCCCCACCTCGGGGGTGAAACTGGAGTGCTCTGTCCATGGGCGATCACTGAAGGGCCCCTCTGAGCCCCGACCCTTGCTGCTGGGTTCGCTCCACTGTGGCTCTGAGCGCTTTGGCCATCTCGTTGACGTCCACCCATCCCGGTCCTATCTTGTCTGCCCCTTCTTTCGGGGGGCTGACAGCTGACGAGATCCGGGCACCTCCGTACCACACCGTGCCCGTAGCGAACTCCACCTCCAGGTCGTTGTGGCTGCCCCCCAGCTCTAGGATGCATCGCTTCACTTTGGCTGCCAGTCTTGCTCGTCGGCGACGTTCTGGTGGCTGGGAGATGGTGAGGTATGCGTAGCGAGGCTGCCCCGTGTCCTCCCTCACATGTCCCGTTTGGATTTTGGCATTGCGGACGATCTGGATGCGTTGGCGGTACTCTTCACCTCCTTCTCCGACTCGGGCCCCTTTGAGGGGAATGAGGGCAAACCCCCTCCGGATCCCAGGTACAAAGGCGTCCTGGTATTCGATGTCGACCTTGAGTTGGCGTAGGATCTGGGTGGCTTTCTCGATCACTTCGTTGGCGGGCGTGTTGTCCCCCCATCCTCCCATGATGAGCGCCGGCTTGCGGCCCCCGATCCCATCGTCGGTCGTCGGCACGCTTGTGGTGGATTGCCCCGGGTTGCACCCCGACGTCTCCAGCTTTTCAATGCGTTCCTCCAGGCTGCGTTGGTTGGCTTCCATCTTGTCTTCCAGGTAGCGCTGCCCCTCCACAACTTCCGCCATTTTTGCCCCTTGGTTGTCCTGCTTGTCGGTCAACTGTTTCAGCAGCGCCAGGGTGGTTTGGAGTTGTTTGGTGACCTCCGACTCCACGGTGGTGACTCTCTCCGCCATGTCTTTCTGCACTCCCCCAATGGCGTGCTGGAAGTCCTGTTTCATCGCCTCCTGGTGGGCTTTGAGCTCGGCTTTGAGGGCCCCCAGCGAGATGGCGTCCTCCACTTCCACCACTTCTGCCGCTTTGCGTTTGGCGGGCGAGCTGCCCTCACCTCCGCCCCCTCCTCCGTTCGCAGCTGTCGATGCTGCCCCCAACGTAGTCATGGTTTGCCTTCTCGGTGTCGCTGCCCAAGTCACGGTCTTTGAGGTCACAAAGTCCCTGGCGAGGAAGAGGTCGCGCAGGTGCGTTGCCCCCACGTACACCCCCTGTAGGCTCGCCGAGGCCCGTCGGGTAGCTGTGCACTAAGTCCCCCGCACGCCTCTGCGGTCCCCGAACTCACCGAAGGCCAGCAGCGGTTGCCCACGTGGATTGAAGACACCGCAATTGACGAGGACGGCCCCCGCGATGAACACGCGTAGTTCTGCAAACGTGTAGTACAGCTCGTATGGCGGCGCAGACCGGGGCAAGGCTCAGACTGCCCCCCCCCTCTCTCACAACCCTCGCCTCTTTGGCTTGCTCTCTTTTGGTTGAGGTGGCCAGGCCTCGGGGTGCCACCTTGAGCACTCGTGGCTTGAGCCAAAATGGCTCCCTCTCTCCCTCTCCCTCTCTCCCTCTCCCTCTCTCCCTCTCCCTCCCCTCTCCCTCTCTCCCTCTCCCTCTCCTCTCTCTCTCCTCTCCCCTCCCTCCCTCTCTCTCTCCCTCTCCCCTCTCCCCTCATCTCCCTCTCCTCTCCCTCCTCTCTCCTCTCCTCGTCCCCTCTCTCCTCCCCTCTCTCCCTCTCTCCCTCTCCCCCTCTCCCTCTCTCCTCTCCCCTCTCTCCCTCTCTCCCCTCTCTCCCTCTCTCCCTCTCTCCCTCCTCTCTCCCGCTCCCCTCTCCCTCCTCCCCCTCCCTCTCCCTCTCCCTCTCTCTCCTCTCCCTCTCTCTCTCTCTCTCTCACTCTCTCTCTCTCTCTCTCTCTCTCTCTCTCTCTCTCTCTCTCTCTCTCTCTCTCTCTCTCTCTCTCTCTCTCTCTCTCTCTCTCTCTCTCTCCCTATCTCTCTCTCCCTGTGCACGACCAAGTGGCAGGGTTCGACGCTTCGAGCGGATCAAACCCGGGCAGGAGACCGAAGATGTCGAGCGTGCTGCCGCTCCAGTTGTGCTCCTGTCTTGGTACTTTAAGGCGTGCTCGGTCTTGGGTATCGGGCTTAGAGTTCGGGGCTCATGCCCAACCCCAACCCTCCGAGAATTGGTCTAAGGTGCTAAGGCTAGCAGCTTGTAGCGAGCAGAAACACGTATGGCACAAAGAGAACATAGGGGCTTAGCAAACGCAAGCCGAGCGCCGAGCTTGTCTATCAAACTTGCACCGGGCCGGCGACGCAAGTGCCAGACAACACAGGTCCATGTCGACTAACTATGCGATCATGGATGTTGGCATGGGTGAAAAGATGCACGCAAACGAACGTATCTAAGGACCTGGCATTTGCCAAGATCGTAACGTCGAAGACATGCGGCATGATAGTTTGTATAAGACCAGAAAAGGGCGAGACACAAAAACTATACTGCAAGAGCGGCAACCGCAAGCAGACGTGGCGGAGCTGCATTGCTTATCTATAAACCCTAAACCCGAAACCCTAAACCCTAAACCCTACACCCTAAACCCTAAACCCGAAACCCTAAAGCCTTGCGCCGACTGCTTGAGCTGGCCATTCGAGGCTGAGGGTTCGGCTTTGGGAGCTGCAGGTTTCGGGTTTCGGGGGTGCCAAGCAGGGAACCGAAGCCCTGGAAGAAGGGCCCCTGAACCCGAAACCCGAAACCCGAAACCCTAAACCCTAAACCCTAAACCCTAAACCCTAAACCCTGAACCCTGAACCCTGAACCCTTCAGTCAACATGTTGCATCCGGGGCCTCAGACTCCTCGAAGGCCAGTCCCACGAAGGTGGACAGGTGATTGAGGAGGTCATTGTAGTCTCGTACCTGGGTTAGGGTTTGGGGTTTTGGGGTTTTGGGGTTTTAGGGTTTAGGGTTTAGGCCCCCCCGCCCCCCCCCCCGTGGGTGGCTTAAATAGGGTCTATTTGGAAGCTGGGACTCGGGTTTTCTTATAGCCATACACGTTTCCACGAGGGTACGCTGCTGTCACGTCAGTCGTACTATGGAGGCCTCAGGAACAAGAACCAGGTAGTTCCTCTTTTCTCTTCTCTTTTTCTCCTCAATCCTAAAGTCGAAGGCTCTCGGGAGGAGAAGAGAAGGGAGAGAAGGAGGGAAAGATAAGAGGAACACGATTTTCATGGGAAGAGCCAAGAAAAGAATAGAAGAGAGATAAAACAAGGCGCAAAGAAGATGGTACTATTCTTTATCTATCCTCTCTCCCTTATCTCTCCGTTCCCTCTGTCTTTTCGAAATGAGAAAAACAAAAAGAAAGATGAAAAGAAGAAGGGTTAGGAAAAGACCCGAAGAGATAGGCCGAAAAGAGGGGTATGGTGAAGTACGGCAAAAGTCCACGCACAAGGAGTCACCTTCTGCTTACCCTTCCACTGCTTGATTTTACAAGCTCCTTTCTGGTGTTTTATCAGTTAAAATTAAAAGGAAACAGAAGGAGAGAAGGGAAAGGGAAGTGAGAGAGGAGAGACAACAAGGAGGCCATTTTAATTTCCTGTGAGTTATCAAAAGGAATGCAATATTATGGGAAGAGCAAAGGAAAAAAAGAGTGGAAGAGAAATTAAGACAGGAGAGGGAGGTGCAAAAATAAGGCAAAGAGAAGATGGTGCCGTTTTCATCTCACCTCTCGTTCTTATCTTCCTCTTCTCTGGTTCTTTTCCCTGTGAAATAAAAAAACAAAAGGAAGGACAATGAACATATAAAGGAACCCGTTTTCGATTTCCGTTTGGGCACAAGGAAAAAAACAGAGGCGATAGGGCGAGAGGAGGGGTTTGCTGAAGCATGGGGAGGGTGTACGGGCAAGGGGCCAACTCCGCCCACTTCCCCCATCCATTGAAAGAGGAAAAGGAAGGGCCTCCATTCCCCTCTTATTCTTCCTTTCTTGCGTTTTTGTCGTTTAGAAGGGAACAGGAGAAGAGGAGGGAGAGAGAAGGAGAGAGGAGACATAAAAAGGGTTGCATTTTTAATGGGAAGAGCAAAGAAAAGACCAGAAGAGAGATGATGGGAGAAGAGGGGGAGACAAAACAAGGCGCACAGAAAATGGGCAGATAAGAAGAGAGGAAAGGGAATGACCAAGTACAATGAGAGTTCTTCAATTTCCCTCCCTATCTCTTATGTTACTTTTCCTTCTTGTGGGGTGTCCCTTTTTCTCTTGAAGATGCAGAAAACGATTGAAAAGGACACCCGTTCCATCGCCCATCTGTAGGGAAAGAGAGAGAATCATGAGCATCAGCTGGGCTTGCTGCCAATCCAACATGGGCGTCCCTTTTAATCGCAGTCTGTGTCCTTTTTTCTCGCTTGAAGATGCAGAAAACGATCCAAAAGCACATCTGTTGGAGGAAGAGAGAAGGAGAGAGGAGAGATAACAAGGATTGCATATTTAATGGGAAGAGCAAGGAAGAGAATAGAAGACAGATGAATAGAGAAGAGGGAGAGACAAAACAAGGCGCAGAGAAGATGGCACTCTTCTTTATCTATTCTCTCTCCCTTGTTTCTCCCTTCCCTCTTTCTTTTCGAAATGAGAAAAACAAAAAGGAAGAACTATGAGAAGGAGAAGAGTAAGGAAAGGAACAGAAGAGATAGGCCGAGAGGATGAATATGATGGAGTATTATGGAAAGGCTCACGCGCAAGGAGTCACCCTCTGCTTACCTTTTCACTGCTTTGTCATATGAGTTCCTTTCTTGTGTTTTATCAGTTAAAAGGAAGCGGAAGAAGAGAAGGGAAAGGGAAGTGAGAGAGGAAAGATAACAAGGATGCTATGTTTCCCGAAGCGTGCTGCAAGGAATAGAAGAGACAGGAAGCAAGGAGACGGAATCACAAAATAAGGCGCAAAGCTGTACATATAATCTCTCCCTTGTCTCTCCCTATTCCCTTTCGAACTAGAAAAAACCATTCTTGCTTTTCACAGATAGGTTCCCTCTCTCCTCTTCAGGAAATCCCCTTTCCCTTATGTTGCTTTTTGAAGCGAATAAGAAAAAGAGCAGATAAGAAGAGAGGAAAGGGTCAATTTCCCTCCCTATCTCTTATGTTGCTTTTCCTTCTTGTGGGGTGTCCCTGTTTCTCTTGAAGATGCAGAAACCGATTGAAAAGGACACCCGTTCCATCGCCCATGTGTAGGGAAAGAGAGAGAATCATGAGCATCAGCTGGGCTTGCTGCCAATCCAACATGGGCGTCCCTTTTAATCGCAGTCTGTGTCCTTTTTTCTCGCTTGAAGATGCAGAAAACGATCCAAAAGCACATCTGTTGGAGGAAGAGAGAAGGAGGGAGGAGAGATACCAAGGATTGCATATTTAATGGGAAGAGCAAGGAAGAGAATAGAAGACAGATGAATAGAGAAGATGGCGCTCTTCTTTATCTATTCTCTCTCCCTTGTTTCTCCCTTCCCTCTTTCTTTTCGAAATGAGAAAACAAAAAGGAAGAACTATGAGAAGGAGAAGAGTAAGGAAAGGAACAGAAGAGATAGGCCGAGAGGATGAATATGATGGAGTATTATGGAAAGGCTCACGCGCAAGGAGTCACCCTCTGCTTACCTTTTCACTGCTTTATCATATGAGTTCCTTTCTTGTGTTTTATCAGTTAAAAGGAAGCGGAAAAAGAGAAGGGAAAGGGAAGTGAGAGAGGAAAGATAACAAGGATGCTATGTTTCCCGAAGCGTGCTGCAAGGAATAGAAGAGACAGGAAGCAAGGAGACGTAATCACAAAATAAGGCGCAAAGCTGTACATATCATCTCTCCCTTGTCTCTCCCTATTCCCTTTCGAACTAGAAAAAACCATTCTTGCTTTTCACAGATAGGTTCCCTCTCTCCTCTTCAGGAAATCCCCTTTCCCTTATGTTTCTTTTTGAAGCGAATAAGAAAAATAGCAGATAAGAAGAGAGGAAAGGGTCAATTTCCCTCCCTATCTCTTATGTTGCTTTTCCTTCTTGTGGGGTGTCCCAGTTTCTCTTGAAGATGCAGAAAACGATTGAAAAGGACACCCGTTCCATCGCCCATGTGTAGGGAAAGAGAGTGAATCATGAGCATCAGCT